TTTGTTGAGAAGGAGTCTCACTCTGTCACCCAGGCTGGAATGCAGTGGTACCATCTCGGCTCACTGCAACCTCCACCCCCCCAGGTTCAAACGATTCTCCTGCCTCAGATTCCTGAGTAGCTGGGATCACAGGCACCCATCACCACATCCAGCTAAGTTTTATATTTTTAGTAGAGACAAGTTTTCACCACGTTGTCCAGCTGGTCTCAAACTCCTGACCTCAGATGATCTCTCTGCCTTTGCCTCCCAAAGTGCTGGGATTACAGGTGTGAACCACCATCCCCAGCCTTATTTGCAACTTTCTGTAAATCTATTATTATTATTATTATTTTAATCTTTTTTAAAAATTCATTTTAAAAAAGCCTACGGCACTGGGTATTCCCAGGCGGTCTCCCATTTAAGTTCTAACCAGGCCTGACCCTGCTTTGCTTCCAAGATCAGACGAGATTGGGCATGTTGAGTTTGGTATGGCTGTAGACTGTTATTTTTTTTGAGATAAGAGTTTTACTCTTGTGTCCCAGGCTGGAGTGCAATGGCGTGATCTCAGCTCCCTGCAACCTCCACTTCCTGGGAACTCAATTCTGTCTCAGCCTCCCTAGTAGCTGGGATTACAGGCATGTGCCACCATGCCCAGCTAATTGTGTATTTTTAGTAGAGACAGAGTTTCTCCATGTTGGTCAGGTTGGTCTCGAACTCCCGACCTCAGGTGATCTGCCCACCTCGGCCTCTCAAAGTCGTGAGATTACAGGCGTGAGCCCCCACGCAGGGCCAATCTATAATTATTTTAAAATATTTTTGTTTGTTTGTTTGTTTATCTGTTTTGAGACAGCGTCTCACATTTTTGGTAGAGACAGGGCTTCACAATGTTGCCCAGGCTTGTTTTGAACTGCTGAATTAAGGCACTCCACCCACTTCAGCTTTCTAAAGTGCTGGCATTACAGGCATGAGCCACCATGGCTAGCCTCAAAATACATTTTTAAAAAATTACTGCTTGTTGGAAATTAAATTTTTAATTTATGTAAACATCTTTCTGATGATCTCCAAGAACATTTCTGTGACTATCATTTCTAAACATTTGTATTATGCTGAGAGGTATTTCTTATTGTTCTTTTAGGTGGAATTGAGACTGGATCTATCACAGAAATGTTTGGAGAATTCCGAACTGGGAAGACCCAGATCTGTCATACACTGGCTGTCACCTGCCAGGTGAGCTCTTGGGGCTATAGCTAATCAAATAAGCGATCAATACTTGAATCCTGCTATTTGCAAGCATTAGTTAGGATGGCCATAAAACGTACTTTCTCTGTCCTCAAGAATCTTATAGCTGTTAGTAGTTATAAGATCGACTCCTACTGCAAAATTCTTGCATGTCAAAACTCTTCCAGATCATTGATCTTCTTTCAGATACATTGATTTCAAATACTTTTCTGCTACTAGGCCTTTGCTGTCTTACTTGCCGCCTTTTTTTGTTTGTTTGTTTTGAGGCAGAGTCTCACTCTGTCACCCAGGCCGGAGTGCAGTAGCACGATCTCGGCTCACTCCAACCTGCACCTCCCCGGTTCAAGTGATTTTCCTTCATCAGCCTCCTGAGTAGCTGGGATTACAGGTGCCTACCACCATGCCCGGCTAATTTTTGTATTTTTAGTAGAGATGGAGTTTCATCATGTTAGGTAGTCTGGTTTCAAACTCCTGGCCTCAATTGATCTGCCTGCCTCGGCCTCTCAAAGTGCTGGGATTACAGGTGTGAGCCACAGCCTCCATCTTCTTTATTAGTCTAGATTTTATGATTCATCAGTAAAGTAATTCTCTTGCAGATAGCCTCAGTTTACATACCCAGTTGAGATCCCAACCTCAGATGAAATTCATCTGTCTTCTCAGTGTCTGTACTCAAATAGCTGATTTTGCTGGAGAAAAATCATACCATAAAGCTGACTGACTTCACTTTAAATTCAAGATGACAGGCCGGGCGTGGTGGCTCATGCCTGTAATCCCAGCACTTTGGGAGGCTGAGGTGGGTGGATCACTTGAGGTCAGGAGTTCGATACCAGCCTGGCCAACATGGTGAAATCCTGTCTGTACTAAAAATAAAAAAAATTAGCCAGGTGTACTTGTACATGTCTGTAATCCCAGCTACTTGGGAGGCTGAGGCACTGCAACCTGGGAGGTGGAGGTTGCAGTGAGCTGAGATTAAGCTATTGCACTCCAGCCTAGGCAAAGAGGCAAGACTCTGTTTAAAAAAAATTCAAGATGACAAAACTTTAGATTAACATTCAAGACTTCTTGGCAAGTCTACTTTCTCCATTTAAGTGTGCTTTACCACTTAGGTATTTCATACCTTGACTTCTCTTATCTTTATGCTCCTCTTCAACCCTCATTCTCAGCCAGTAACCTAACCTCTTGGCATCAAATCTAAATCCACCTACATTTGTGCCCATCTTTTTTTATCTTAGGTTACAATGGAGAAAGTGACCCTTTTCTTCTCAAAGGCCCATTCTATCAATATGATTTGGTTACCATCTCCTGCTACCTTCTCAAGGACTCTACTCTTTCCATTTTCTGTTGTACTTCTCTATGAAATTATCCTCATCAGTATACAAATAAACCTAGTGTCTCCTCCATTAGAAAAAAACTTTCCCTGGACTCCTTCAGTTTCATTTTCCTTTACTTATGTTCCCATTGGTGGGTGGATTTGGAAACAGACATGTGGGTTAAATATTTGCCCAATACGTTGTATTTAATTAGTAAATAGTGGAATCAAACTAGCCTTTAGAGATGGTGCTCTTAAAACTTCCTAAGAGACCAGGCATGGTAGTTCATGCCTGTAATCCCAGTACTTTGGGAAGCCAAAGTGGGAGGATCGCTTGAGGCCAGGAGTTTGAGACCAGCCTGGGTAACATAGTGAGACCCTGTTTCTATATTTTAAAAAAATTGAAAATACTAACCTAGCGTGATGGTGTGCACTTGTGGTTCTAGCTACTCAAGATGCTGAGTGGGGAGAATCTCTTGAACCCAGGAGGTCAGGGATCCCAGTGACTGGGATCATGCCATTTCATGTTTTCTGTTGTATTGCTAGTGCTTAAGACAGTGCTTGGCACTCAGTAAACAATAAAATGCTTGAATGAGTGGAGATAATAGATGTTCAGAAACATGCCTGATATATAAAATGAATGCTATAGAGGAAATGGGTTAGCTGTTTAAGGAAGAAAAAGGGGTAACTTCACCGTAGAGTTACCGTGAAATACTTTATGGATAAAGACACTGGACCAGACTTCGAAAGAATGCTAAATTTGAGAAGAAAGAAAATTAAAAGCATTAACCGTACAGAATGGGATGGACAGAGGATGGGAAGGCATAAGTTATAGGGAAAAGACAATAAGCAAGCTCATTTACCTGGTTCAGGGTATGTGTAGAAAAGTTGTAGGAGATGACCTTTAAAAAGATGCATCAAGCTGGACATGATAGCTCATACCTATAATCCCAGCACTTTGGGAGGCAAAGTAAGGGGATTGTTTGAGTTCATGAGTTCGAGACCAGCCTGGGCAACATGACAAAACTCCATCTCTACAAATAATATAAAAATTAGCCAGATGTGGTGGCCTGTGTCTATAGTGCCAGCTACTTGTGAGGTACAGGTGGGAGGATTGCTTGAGCCCAGGAGGCCAAGGTTGCCATAAGCCAAGAT